TATATATATATATATCATCATGGTATCATCACAATCACGGTAATTTACTTCAATGAGTGATTGACACTTTTGATGATGTTTATTATTATTATACTTAAAGTATAGCAGAAGAGGAAATATAGCAGAAGGACAAGCAGAGGAGGAAGACATCGGAATTGGTTACCACACTCAGCGAAGTTTTTATCAAATTTCTCTTTTCTAATTTTACCAGCTAAAGGGCATGCAAACTACAGCAAATCAGCTTGAATTATTGATTCATTGATTGGGCTCAATATAAAATTAAAAACATAAAATTTTTCTGGTACTCTACGGTTATCCGGAAGTAAGGAAAAAATTTTGAACTCCACCAATTTTTATTTCATTTTTTAAGCACTTAAAATTTACAAAATAAAATAAAAGAAAATAGTTGAATTTACTTGCTCCCAGCTAAGTACCGAATTTTACTAGAAATAACGCCTTAACTAATTAATGTTCTAGCAAACAATTAACTGTTAAAACGTCGAACATAAACATAAATAACTTGATGAAAGAATCAAGTATATCTATCACGGTTTTTGAAAGCTAATTATTACACAAATATATATTTAACATTATTTTTGCGTGTAATGCATACCTTATAGAGCTAAAACTAATTTTAAAAGCTAGAAAAAGATAACACACCTACAGTTTTGATATTCCGCCGTATTGAAATACTCTGTCAATCATTTTATGTTAAGAAGTCTACAAAAAAATTCCTTTTTCGGATCTTTTCTTAAATTTTAGCTTTATATCCTCACGAAATATGACAAGTTACAATCTCTTGCTCCAAGATCTAATACTATATTACTAAAAGAACTTTTTTTTTTAAATTTTAATAAATATCATTGCTGTTAGCATTTTAAAATGACCTTGTACTAGCATCGACTGTTTTGTATATTTATAAAATTTAATTGAATTTCAAAATGTCATGTTTCTGATATGTCACAAACGATATTTCCAATAATAACTAACTTCAAAACTTTGCGTAAATTTTTCAATAACTAATTTTTTTTTATCTCAACTGTTGTAAGCATTTATAGAATATACGCAGAGGGTATTATTTACAAAAACTTCGTTTAAAATAATTTTTTCTATCAATAATTTGTTTGTCGCATGAAAATCTGTCATTTTCCTGGCTACTTTTATTTAGTGATTCATAACCAAAATAGATAGTGCCAGCAATCAATATCTTATGTTAATAGATTGATTAGATACCATCCTATCTGAACATGTCTTATTGCATGAATAAAAACCAACCTTCTGGTTCAAAATCTATTTCAAAAAATTTTTCAAGGTGAGTAGGTTTTTATGTTGTCATTTTCTTGTCTTCTTGAAATCATTAATAGCATAAACTGCATAGATTTATCTGAGTTATTTCAAGAAATCCTGCTGTTTTCTGTGGAATGTAAACGTCTTCGGCCAAAATGTTAAATTAAAGTTAAATGCTATAAAATGGCAAATTTGTCATTATACTGGCTTATGAATGCCAGGACATTGACGTGTTACCAGAAAACTTTTTAAAGAGTATACTGTAAAGAGGGAAAGCAAATAATAACCTAATACCAAGTTTATTTATGATTGTAATATGCTTGAATGTAATCAAAGTTATTTATTTATTTAATGATTGATTATTGTACACAATTTTATTCTGTACATATCAGCAAAAAAAACATTTTTGATTCTTTCTACAGTGGATAAAAAGAATTAGTTTAAGCAATTTATGGTCCATCTAACATAAAGACTTACGTTGCGTTACTTACTATTAGCTTAAAATGACTGTTTTTTAAACTTCTAAGCCAATATGTCATTTTCCTGGCAGTCAAGATTTGGCGAATTTCTATTTTATTTTTTTTCTTGAGCAATTGTCAATAAACTACACAGCTGTCTGTAAGATATTAATAAATGTAACTAAATAAGTATACAAAAATTTGAAGACTTTAAATTTGAAGAAATTTTTTGGTTCGAATTGTCATATTTCCAAAGAATCACCTATATATCCAAACAGAAGGTTGACGGCCCTCCTGAGATCATATTTTTCGACTGTGGATCAAGAATCAAATTTCTTCGAAAAAAAATGGTATATTAATCTAGACTAAGCCTGCTTTTCTGGAAGATTTCGTAACTTAATAATTAATCTGCATAATATAAGTTGTTTGTATAAAATCAAAGCCTGAAACCATTAAAATTGCATCTTAGTACTTAAAAATCCGATTGTTAGATCAAAAGTTATTAAGGTGTACAGTTTTTTATTTTGCTCTCTGAATATTTATTTCAGCCTTTCCTGAATTCTCACAACAATTAACATAATCCTAATATTGAATTATTAACCCCATATAGAGAGGCCCTATTAGTTTCTCTACATTAAGAGAACTAAAGTCACATTTGTATGTTTTAAACATATTCATGCATATAAACATAATCGACTCATGTATTTATATAACAAAAATGAGTAGAAAAAAAACCATTATCGTTTTCATTTTCTTTTATGTAGACATGTATTACAGTTCTGAGATCTTAATTTTCAGTTTTTGGTACATTTCCTGAATAGTATTATTGAATGTTTTACAGCAGTAATCGTCAAACTCATGCAGCTTTTCAGCTACCGAACCTTTTAAATCATACTGTGAGCTACTAACAAAAAAAAAAACGACCGAAAAGAACAAACTTTAAAAAAAAAATATCTTACATTTGATTTATTGCCTATAAACTTGCATCAGTATGTCAGACAACATGAACGTTAATGCTATCCACCGAAAATGTTCCTTAGATAGTTCGAATTACTGCTCAACAGTTTATGATTTTAGAATTTTTTTAAAAGTTTTCAGGAGGGAGAAAATATATTTTAAGAATTTTTTCTCTTAGAATGTTTATAAATCATTATTATTTTATAAAGTAAACACCATAAACTTAGTAAACATTAAATTACTATCAGTGAAAATTCAATTTAAAATGTAAAAGTGTCCAATTACTATGTGTTTTTATCATATTAAAAGTGAAAAACGAAACAGGCTTTGTTTGAAACTAGACGTGTTCGTGCCCCTCTGTCCTTGTCGTTTAACCCTTTGACGCAGATGGGTCACCTTTTATATATTTTTTGCTGACGCTCTAAGTATAAGTAAAAATGCGTTTTAGTACTTTTTTAATTATAAAGACAGTCTAATAATTGCTGAAAAATCTGTTAGATTAGTGGATTTATATATTTGTACTAATATATAAAAAAATTAGTTTGAAAAAAAAGTATTTTCATTCGTATTAAAAAATTTATCAATAATTGATTTTGTAAATTAAAGAAATTTCAGGGATAAATTACTGTTTCCCTTTGATCTAAATAACTTCAAATAAATGTAAATTTGAAAAAATATTGTTTGGAAATGAGCCGTATATGGAAGATTTACTTCTAACGCAGAAAAAGAAAGGCTGTTTCATGCTGTATTTCATGACCAAAAACTATTAAAATGCTAAATATAATACTTTTTCCTTTTTTCGACCTAAACTAATACAAAATAATTATAAAAAAGTACGAAAAATATGTTTATAAAAATTCTGCTTCAGAGGGATAATGTACAAATTATAAAACCCATATTTGGATTATTTTATTTGAGTTCCCATTTAAAAGTATCAATTTTTTTCAACATTACGCGTGTAATTTTTTTTCTATAAACGAAGATTTATTTAAACTCTTACCTCAAAATATATCTTGACAAAAATCATTATCACGAAAGATGCAAATAATTATCTATTGACTTCCTGAGTTTGGAAGCGTGTAAAAAAGAATAATCCAGTAGAACATTTTTGACATGTGCCTTGATGAAGGAACAGTATTAAAATGAAATGTCTTCTGTAAGATGATGTCACTTCCGAAAAATTTCCCTGTAAAGGAACTAACACCTTCCTCTTTTTTTAAAAATAAATAAAAGATCAAACAGTAGAAGCGTCATTGTTTCATTTTTCAATGACAAAATGAGAAAAAAAAAAAGAAAAAAGGGAAGAATGTGAAACAACTGATGGAATTAATCGACCGAGAATTAGCGTGATTTTAAAAAACGAATTAATATAATTGTACTATGCTTCCTAGTTTAATAAAAAATTTACATTCTTCATACTACTGTCAGAGTGAAATAAAGAAATGCAGGGCTGTCCTTAAAAAAAATGAATCAGATAAAGCCAGACCTAGAAATTTTAAACCATTTTTTCTTTCTAAAATAATTCTTTTTATGCTTAAATGAAATTATTTTTCCATCCATGCAATTTTGTTATCACTTTTTAATTAGTTAGAAAAATTCGTATTAAAGCAATTTAAAAAGTATTAAATGAAAAACGTCGTTCTAAATATTATTTTAATTTTTTTTTTTTACCAAATTATACAGAGTTCCGGAGGGCCTTAAAAATTTTAAAAAGTTGTAACGAAAATAAAACAAATGTCGATATTATAATCTCTGTGTAACCACCACTAAAAATTGTTTTTCAAAGAAAGTATTTATGCATGAAAATTCAAGCTTCTAAACCACTTAATGATGAAATGATAGATTAAAATAAGAAATATCATCTAGCATTAACTTAAATTTACTACCACCACTAAAACTTTTCAAGGACCGCAGGAACCCTGTTATAGTCATCAAAATTTGTATGAAAGCAATTAAAAAAATTTTTTAAATAAATAAGTCGTTTAAACTATTACGTAATTTTTTTCAAAATCAAATTATCGTCAAAAAAATTCTCACAAATTTTACATTCTGTCGTAAAATATGGAAATGAACGGTTTTGTCCTTTTTTCATAAAAAATAACGATTGGATGAGGATTGCCTCAAAATGCATCTGTTGCATTTTGAGGATCACTAAGTTTTGACTAATTAATAACGTGTAAATGGGTTCTCCCCGAGAGTTATTATTCAGTAATGATAGGTCGTGATGAAAGAAAACGGTTCTCGTTCACGCGTAGAGAAAAAGAAAGATAAGTTAAGTGAAGAAAACGAAGGGAATACTAGTGACAAAATTTTGATTGTGGAGTAATTTTGAAGGGAAAAAAGGTTTTCGCGCAACCTGATTTTCAAACTTTATTTCATTTTCAACAGCATTTATTATAAATGAGGATTACTAAGTTTTGAGAAATCAATAAGGTGGAAAATCGGCTCAACTCGAAAGTTACTACAAATTGAAAGTGAACTGGCTCAGGGGATAAAGCGCTCGCCTTCTAATGAGACGAACCGGTTTCGAATCCCTGTCGATACGAATTCCGCAGCCGGCTTGCACTGACCACAGTGCTGACGTGAAATATCTTCAGTGGTAGACGGATCATGGGTTAGAGCCCCCTTGCCGTCTTCCTCTCCATGTAACGCAAGTGCGGGTTAGCTCCATCAAAAAGTCCACCACGAAAGCAAATTTCTTCCAATACTCGATCCAGGAATTACCTTGTCTTCTGGGTTCAAAATTACAAGGCTACGGAGATAAACATTAGTAGTCGTAAACCCAAAAAATTGGGTCGGCTGTTCAACGCGGTTATAAAATAAAATTTTTATTCTAAAGTTGCATTGTTGGGCTTAGAAAATGGCGCTAAATGTCAAAAAAAATACTTTTTTGAAAATAAAAAGCATTTGTGATCGAATTTTTTAATATTTGACAACCTACACCGGGTTTAAAAAATACGCAAAACTTGAGAAGTATGATTGATTTTTACCTGTGGTAAAATATCACTAAATTGGCGAATTAAAAAAAAAAAAGATTAATAAATTTAACTAGAGCTGGGGTAGCTCAGGGCATAGAGCATTTTCTTCCCAATGGGGTGCCAAAGTTCAAATCCCGGCGTTGGCTAGTTGTTAAGAATTCTGCTTCCGACTAGCATCAACAACAATGGCGATGTAAAAAAATCCCCAGTGGTATATGGATCATGGGTGACATCGGGCGAACCGTGGAAGGTTTTCCTCTCTGTATAAAGCAAATGCGAATAAGTTCCATAAAAATCCTTCATGAAGGTTAGTTTGCCCCCTTGTCTTTAGGATTGGGTAAAACCGGTATGCAACATCGGTGATAAAATTAAATATTTGAATACCTACTCTAACACTTCATTGTTGAGCTAAAAAGACGCAAAACTTGGGAAATACGATTTATTTTTATCTGCAATAAAATAACAATTCGTGCTTTTTCAAAGAAAAATTTAATAAATTTAATTAGCTATGCATTTTAAAGTGTAGTCAATTCATTTCAGAAAGATAGGATTTTTTTTTAAATATATATTAAAGCTTTTGTCCTGAGAAGGGACTTACATTATGACTTTATTTTTCTTACAAAAGAGCTTCGAAAAATAAAAGTTTTGTTTATATTTGAAAAATTTCCATCAATATCCTCAATTTCAATGGACTCATCAATTTTGCATGCTAAATTCTTAGTGCAACTTTAATAATGATTTTGATTAGTATTAACATCAAATCAAAATAAATTTAAATGTAATATGTGAAGATTATATAACAAAATCACGCAACTGCTGTATGAATGAAAGGTTGCTTGAAAGCTGTGGTATGGAAGAAAAAAAATCTCAACTTTGTGCTCTATAATTAATAATTGCTTAGTGCATTTCAGACAATTTTGTTACGCTGTTTTCATATGAATTTTGTTAAGCTGAGTCAGGTGAGACCAAGCAATAAAAAGAATATTACCCGATTAAAAACTTTGTTCGCTTCAAAAATATATAAATAGGAAATGACAGTCGACATGTTTCAAACGCTCAAAACATGTCGATTATTATTTCCTATTTATATATTTTTGAAGCAAATGAAGTTTTTAATCAGGTAACGAATTACTGCTGTAGTTTCTTGGTATTATTTATTTAATAGAAAAAATAGTTTAGAAGTTATAAAGGTTTTATTCCTAAAATATTTATATATTTTATAGTTACACTATAGTAAGAGGGATTTTAATTTCCTATATACCCACTTTTCATCCTTCCTTATTTTTCAAGTGATGTCCATTGTAAGATATCATGTGATGTCTTGCAACGTTTTGCCACTTACTACAAGGAGGGTTAAAATCAGGGTAGAATGAATATAGATCAGAATGTGTCAATAATCATTGAACAAAAAGATTATAAATTAATTTCAACAAATATAATCTTCCTAGTCTATTGCAGATGCAGAAAAAAGAACAAGTAAGTGAAAAACTTTAATAAATTAAACATTTGAATTAAAATAAATACAAACATGATAAAATTTCAAAGCTCTTAGTAAATGGTGCATATAGTGGACGGCAATTACAAGTAATCTGAGGCTACTGATTGCGACTACTCTATTTCCAAGGAGCCTTTTTGCCTCCTCTGGCTCTACTGTCCATGGCACTTTTGGTCAATTTCAGTCCAGTGTGGCCTATGCTTTTCAGACTGCTGTTGCTGTCCCTTCTGTAAGTCAAGGAGCTTGGTTTATACTTCATTTCGACCGCTTCATCACCTAGTTTTTTACTTCCAGACATAGAAGAGCCAGCCCTTTTATTTTGATTGTTCTGTTCTAAAAGATATAATCAGAATTTATTTTTAACATAAAACTATAAAATACAACAAAATAAGTAATGGGAATTTAGTTAACTTCTTCTCTTATGATTAATACTTATTTGTAAATCTGTTACAATAAAAAAAATCTCAACCAGGATAAGTAAGCTTTGGGACACAATTAAAAATTCCAAAATTAAAAGAGTTAGGTTTTCGGCCTTGTCCAAAGCCCTTCTTATAAAGTTTCTCAGAATTTTAAATTTAGTGCAAAAGTTTTGAGAAATTAGCCCCAAATTATAAATCAAAATAAATAATTCAATAATTTAGCTATAATTAAATATGAATTCATGTCTGAAAAAATATTTAATAAAAAAAAATTGCACTAAAAAAAGTTATTTTTATCATTACTATATTTTATCCGTCCAAAACTCGATATTGTAGAGTAGAATTATGTAAACAATACTAAACAATTAAGAAATCGGTAATATCTTTAATGGTTTAATATTGTGACAATTGAGGTTGTCTTTGAAATATATTATAAAAATATCTGTTTTTTTTTAATTATTCAAAACTATAATAAACTTAAAGTATAAAATGTAATAGATATTAAGTTTATGCAATACGTTTTCTATATATTTACACATTTTAAAACTTATTAATAGTTTTAAAAATACAATAAATTGCAGAATTTCAATTAATGTTGTTACTAGATCCTAAAAATAAAATGTCATAATAGAATGTTAAAATGTCTGTAAAAAATACACTTAAATAATTTTTTTAAGTCCAATAAGTGCACAGTGATTATAAAGTTATAATATTTAAGCTTTTTTTGAAAATTATAAAATTTGGATATTTTAATGGATTAAATCCAACAAATCTGAAGTAAATCTAATTTAAAGTATGTCCAGAAAATCAACAAACAAGACATTCATAAACAGAAGCATTGCTCTAAAGTAACTAAACTTAAACTTCTTGGAAATTTTAAACATTGATTATTAACTTTTCCTGACACATATAAAAACACAACAAAGTGAACTGCACATATAATTGATGAAAAAGTAAAAGAGATTCAATAGATTATCTCACCGTGTTTAGGATAGTCTAAATATTGTTCTATTACATCAATATGTAATATATATTAAGGACAATATAGCTATATTATTAAAAAACTAATCTTCATTATTAGTACAGTTAATTACATAAATAATAAATAAAATAAGATAACAGATTTTATCATGCATATAAAATAGAGATAAAATACTGGAACAATATTTTTAAAAAAAAATTATATATAAAAGACAAGTTACCCAAATTATTGAAATAAATTAGAAGGAAAAATTATAAATAGAGTATATGGCGATGTTCATGTTTTCTATTTCAAAACTTTGTATGATTTATTTTTAATTGAAATATGTAATTTATTAGAAATAATGTCCAGTAATACGTTAATAGAAATAATAAATTTTAAAAATTCTGATTCATTTTTGATAACTTAAAAAATGAAGTTTCTTATTTTTAATTTTAAAAAAGTTTCTGTTTGAGAAAGCTTAGAAAGATTTAAAGTCAATTTCTAAACTTTTTAATTGTTATAATTCAGGACTACTATAAATAATAACATATTTAAACTTAATTTTTAATACAGGGAAAAAAATCTACACAATAGTTACACTTATCTTTAAAAACTTGAATGAACCTGTACCTTTTCTTTTTTTTCTAGATAATTTAATTAAAAAAAATATTAAAAAATATTTAAGCTTATGTTCATTCTTGTTGCATTGTATTTAACCATAAACAAAAGAAAAATAAATTGTTTTTTGAACACATGTTTAATAATTTTAATTCTAATAGAACTCTTTGATACCCTAAGATACCAACATCATTTATAAAATAATTATTTCATATACTAAAGAATAATGGTCAAAAGTTCTAGAAAATTCAAAGGATATCTTCTTGAGACAATTCACTAAAACCATTTTTTACAACAACGGCAGGAGAACCACTCTGACTAGGCTGATTTGTACAAAGATGAGATAAAGGCTTTTTAGGAAAAACTTGTAGGCAATGTTTTAATCCTAAATGTAATCAAAAGATAATGAGCAATATACAAGTACCAATCTTTGAAAAAAGACAAACTGAATAAAAAACATATTTAAAAGACATATAATTTATAATCTAGAAGACAATTATATCCATCATATTTTAAAACATAATATAATCCATATATATAAATGTAATATAAATACAGTCAAACCCCGCTATAGTGAACCTTCAAGGGACCGACATTTCGGTTTACTATAACCGGGAGTTCAATATATCCGTTACGCAAGCAATTTAACCAATGGTTCCTTAAATCCTCCCTTTTATTACACTTTATTCAAATAAATGACTGAAAAATATTATGTAGAAGCAAAAAAATTTTTTATTTTTTTATTACTCTTTGTCTTGCGTGCAAAAAAAATTAGTAATCTCTAGTTGATCAGCAATCTTCAACACAGATATGGAAACACTTCCCGACTCTCAGATAATTTTTCCTGAATATCTGTTATTCCGCTTTTTAAACCTGTCTAACCAGCCATTTTAGCACAAGAAAGTAGTCTCATAAAATCACATAGCAAATTCATCGACATTTGTTTAGATACTGGGAGATTGCGTCTTCTTCTAATGCGGAACCACTTCAGTAATGCTTCTTCAACACATCCTTTTCTCAATTTTTTTCTGCCATCTAAATATTTTTCATGAGCAGAAATTATTAACTGCCTATTTTTTCATAAGTTACAAACTGCAGATTTTGATAGTTTATATTCTCTGCAAATGAGCTTGATTGCATCCATTTACAATTTTTCTGATTATGCCCATTCTATCATCAAAGAAGAACGTTTTACGTTTACTGCTCGCCATAGTTAAATTTGAGACACTTGCTTGTAGGATTTTTTAAACTGAACTCAGAGCAAAAAGGAGTTGAAATGAGGGCCTTATCAACACATATTAGCGTCCAACCCTTTGAGCCCACTGACACCTTACAGGTGCAAGTGAGATAAAAAAAGCAAACAAGAAAAAATACCTATCGCTACATTCCCCTCTATAGATGATTTCAAAAATCGGTATATGTATTTATTTTGAGGAAGAAAATTCAAAATTATTACAAAAAAAATTTAAGAAAAAAATCAGTCGAAGACAGAAAAAAGTTCATTAAATCCAACTTCCTCACTTTTTTGGTTCACTATATCCACAAAAAATAACATTATACGTGTATAGCAAGGCACAGGACTGAACATTTTGTTCACTATATCCGGGAGTTCACTATAGCAGGGTTTGACTGTATATATAAATATAATCTATTATATTCTATAATACACTATAAGTTTTCATAAACTAAACCAGACTAAATCTTTTTAGTCTATACACAAAAAACTTCTGAAACGCAAACAATTTTTTTTCTTTACGTTTAAATCCCTTACAAAAAATAATGTGTTTTTAAGGTACATATGAAGTTGATTGTATGCGGCGTAAAGGAGGTTCAAATTAAGGTATATTGGTGAGGTTATGACCTCACCAATGTACCTTAATTCGTGAGGTTGCAAAATATGACCTCATTTTCAATCTCAGGTGTATTTTTTACACCTTTTATTTTTTTTACAGTCAAAGGTTATAAATAAACAGCTTTTTAGATAGATTGATGAGGTTATTTTTGGTGCAAAATATGACCTCATTTTCAACTTCATGTGCATTTTTTACACCTGTTAGAGGTTTATAAATATCAACCTCTGGCGTATTTTTTTTTACACTTTTAGTTAATTTTTAATAATCAAAAGTTGTAAATTAAGAACTTTGCGTACATTAGAAATTACGAAAAACGTATGTTTCTCATAATTTATAATATATATTACAAGTTAACCTAGATACATCATGATACAATTCAAATACACTATATATTTCTTTCACTAAGAAGAGGTTTTGTTTTATAATAATATGCTAATAATAATCTTTAATGCTTTTGATGTTAATCACATAACAAAATGTTTTTCCATAATACATTTACAATTGCAGGTAAATGCATTGTCTATAAATTCACATATTACAAACATTTAAATTAATACAGAAGCGAATTGTTAAAATTTTTTAATTAATATGATACTGATTATTTTTATAAGATTTGATAAAAAAGAAAGAAAAACGACCAAATTATCCAAAAACATTATAATGGTTTTAAAAAAAACACATACTGAAACTTAATGTAGTAGTTCACATAGGTAATATAGTAAAAAAACAAAACAGATACCACAGACAGCTTGTGGATATCAAAGGGAAATCAGAATTTGAAATGAACATTTTACAGATAAAAAAAATTACCTCCAGTAAGTACAAATACATTATCATAACCACGTTGGACTAGAGTTGTTGCTACTCGAACTGCAATTGATTCATCATCATCATACACAATAATAATTTCCGGAGAACTGTTTTTCTAAGATATAATATTAAGGTTAATTCATAAATAAATTAATATTATGAATTCATTTGAAGGTATTCATACTAAAAAGGATGCATTAAAAATTAATCAAACTGCGACCAAATATTATTTATTACAGAGTTCATGAATGGTTATAAATTGTTCTGACCACTTATCTTTGCAATTGAAACTAAACTAAACAAAACCAATAACTACAAGATATCGATTTGAATTTTTGACGTGGCAATCGTTTTACACAGATCTATAAAATTCATAAAAAAGTATTTTACTTTACACTCAGAACATTACTCATCATTCCAAACCATCCAACAATCTTAACCATCAACAATAATCCTTAATTTACCCTTACCCTGAGTGTAGAATTTACCCTTTTCTCATAAAATAAACATAAAATATATTCAGAGAGTCGACCAGGAAATTTATGACTATTACAGGTACTCTATCATTACTGTGTGGGTCGGCATAAACTGGATATTCCTTAATTTTAGTATAGTATTTTAATGTTACCAAAAGGTCATAAATGCCTAAATTGTAATTTTTAATGTGACAGGTTTTGTTACATAATTAAATTAATGTAGAAAATGAGTCAAAACAAATTGAAATAGCAGAACTATACAAACAAAAACAATTAAAAATTATTCTAGATAAATAAATGAGGCATATATAACTTACGAAATAAAAACATTCATGAAAACTCACAAGATTTTCCTAATTTTCTCAAAAACTTTAAAAAAATAACCTTTTTAAATCTATACGTTAGTTGGGTTACCAGTTTCACACTATAAATGCACTTCAAATAATTTCTTCTAGATAAAATAAATTAGAAGCATTAAATTATTTTTTTTCATATATAAAATTGAAACAGAAAAAAGGTATTCTAGAATGATCAGTATAAGCAAATGAAAGAATTTTCATCAAGAAAATTTTTAAGTTTGATCTAATTTTTGTAAATATCACAAGTTTTGATGTTCAAAGCTTCTAAAATATTTACCAATGTAGTTAAGATTATTAAAATAATAAATGATTTAAGTGTGCAACTCTAACATCAGTACACACCAATTTTTCAACAACTTACTAAAAACAGTAATTTCAAGTGAAGCCGTAGGAATTTAAGTATATATATATAAATATATATATATATAAAGAGAGAGAGAGAGAGAATGTTTCGTACACGTCTTTCTATACTAATTCATAGCTAAAAATAGATTATCTTATTGACTTTAAAGCAAAGAAATCAATCTTTCACAAAAAGCCATAAAAAGTAAAGATTACAATTAAAAGATTATTTTCTGAAGTTAATGAGCAATTATTCTTGGAAATATACTCATTTAAGAAATCAAAAAATTCCCTATAGTCCATATGCCATCTGTTAAAATGAATCAAGATGGTTAAATTTTTCCTTCTGCGTGATGTTCAATTGTGCAAAAAGATTTTCTTTCAACCTATTTTCTTTCAGAATCCTTGAATAAAAGAAAGACAGACCAATTTTGTATGCCTTTTTCATGATGTAACTGCTAGTAAAACTACAGCCTGAATGGCAAAATTTTGCCAAAACCTGACTGGGATAACCTCTTCCAGAAGATGCTAAGTCCAGAAGATGCTAAGTAAAATAAATAAAACTTAAAAGAAATCACCTTATGTATCAACTTTGGAAATTACTTTTTTTTTGCAGATTATATATATATTATCAAACAATTTTGGAAAAATTTTAACATGCTGCAATGTAAGAAATTTCGCTAAAAATTATCTTAAAAAGAATAATAATCTAAATTCAAAGAAATATCAACATATTTTAAAATTATTGTTTTACACTTAAATATCTTATTAAAAAAATTCTTCAAGAATTTTTTTTTTCTCAATATGATTAGTCTTTAGTAAGAAATGGCAAAAAAATATATTCTTCATTAATAAAAGGATACGTATAATTTCATTTCTTCTGTTTCAAAGCCAACTGATCGGGCAAGTAGAGCTGATGGATAATGCCTGGCTAAAATGAACATAAAATATTAATTACAATTTCATCGAGCCTACAAGACAATAAAAAGGTAAAATTTTCAAAGAACCTGTTTTAATATTATTTTGAACAAATTGTTCTTTATCCCTAACATCTAGTAATAAATAGGGCAGCTCCTTCTCCAATTTATGTACAGTAGATGATGGATTCCTTTTTTGGTTAGCAAGGTCAATTTCACCGATTCCCATTATAACACTACAAAAGTAAATAGAAAATTTTATGAACAAAAAAATTCATCAAATTATTCAATTCATTCATCAGAAATCCATTCTATTCATATAGCTGGATTCTTAAAACAATAACTACTCTGAGTGAAATTTTTAAAAGCATATACTAAATTCAAACATTTTAAACAATGTTCATAACTAAAAAGTTGAATGCACGATAGTTCCTCAAGACATTTTATTAAATTTAAGTAAATAAACTCTAAAGTTTATTTGTGATAATATGAAATAAAGATTATTGATATAGAAAATTTTATGAACAAAAAAATTCATCAAATTATTCAATTATTTCATCAGAAATCCATTCTATTCATATAGCTTGATTCTTAAAACAATAACTACTCTGAGTGAACTTTTTAAAAACATGTACCAAATTCACATTGTTTATAACTGAAAAGTTGAATGCACGATAGTTCCTCAAGAAATTTTATTAAATTTAATAACAGAAAAGTTGAATGCACGATAGTTCCTCAAGACATTTTATTAAATTTAAGTAAATAAACTCTGAAGTTTATTTGTGACAGCAGGAAATAAATATCATTGAGTTTACTTCTTGCCTACAAGCCTTTAATTGGCTACATTTATAACCCCTAACACTCCTTTAAACTGTTAGTGCCAAAGTATTAGTCTTCTAAGTGTTTTAACTTACTGCCAAAAGAGAGACTTTATAATATTACTTGCCCACTTTTTGCTGCCTAATACACTTAGAATATTCTTCCACTTAAAAAACACAAAATGATAGTCACTCAGTACTTTCATTTACTAAAATTTGTGAAATTTTATATTTATTCAGTAAAATAAGATGTTCCCCAAGAAATTTAATTTTTTTGAATATTTTTGAATATTAAAAAAAAAAAAAAAAAAAAAAAAAAAAAAAAAAAAAAAAATTAGAATTTTTTTTTCTCTGAAATTCTATAATTAAGAGAAAGTATTAATAAAACTTGCAACTGATCAGTATGAATTAATTTTAAATTATTTATGCCTTAATAATACTTTAACTGTTTATATGATTTTCATCAATTTAATGATAGGAAATCCAAGGATGTCTTAAATATAAATATTAATTTACATAAATAACCACACGCAATGATATTACGGAACTATTACTCAGAAACACATTCAAAACCATTTTTAATAAGACGAGAGACCTAAGTTGGTAATGGCATCATTTATAGTATAGTTGTTAGAAATTATAAGCCCCATTTTAGAAATTTCTTTTTAGATTTTATGTTAAATGCACTTTTAATGGCGACTTTATGAAATGAATGGCGTGTAAAATCATATAAAGCAACAATAAAAAATTACAAATATTTTTAATAATGTTAAATATGATTGTGAGAAATATCATACTTAGGTAAAACCTTATCTGGATGCTTATTATCACTAGACTTAACAGAACCTTCAATATTGCTGCCATCTGTCAGAAATATAACACAGTTTTCACAGTTTAGAAAATTTTACAATACAAAAATAAATTTTCAAAATTCTTTCATTTAAATTTTTTTCTTAAAAATAAGTATTTTTTATGAGAAAACATAATATAAATTAATATGAATACAAATATAGTTAAGACATCTAATAATTTAAAACAGCTAGTATAATTTCAGACATGATACGGAGAAAGCTGCCAAGTTGACATCTTTGTAAATTGACTACCTGTCTAAGTTGATCTCCATTATAAGGAACCAAATTTATCTTATGTAATAAAAGGGAGCAAAACATTTGTAGCTAACCACCTGTCTCTCTTGTACGTTGACCATTAAATTAAATCCAATTTGTTTAAAGGTGTTATTAAAGACTATTCAAAACCCTTCATACGTTGAGTGGGAAAAAACACTTTTTCAGTAAGTTTTCTATACTCTTTTGTGACACATTAAAATTTCACAAAATTAATGGAAGTTATAAAAGCTAATCTAAACCTCGTTACGAGTTAACCATAATAGAAATTTAGGAGAGCTATTAAAATAAATATGTTTATAAATATAACAGAATAAATTTTTAAATTATGAAATACATATACTATTAAGTTAAACAATTGTTTGTATGTTCTAGTGTAATGATATTTGATTAAAAGTTTTTATAATAAATAACTAGCAAGCATAACTAACAAAATATGCATAAACTAATCCGTATCTATAATCGTATCCATTAAAGATTAAGATGGCTATCGAATAGAAATCAACTTAGGATACAACATAAGGGAAAGAAGAGATAAGATTGAATAGTTAAGATAAGTGAAGCTAGTTAAGATTGATTTAATCTACTAAGTGAAAAACTAAAATGTTTAACCTAAAAAAAAGAAAGATTAAAATTACACAGAATAATTTGTAAAGTCAATTCATTCTAAAATAACGATCATCTATAATGATAATGTTACAAAATAATGATAATGATTAATTTATTAATTGATAAGCATGGTTTCTTGATTACATAGTTTTAACAATTTCGTAAAAGGTTTTGCACAGATGATAATTATTTAAGAATCAACACATACATCATAGATTATTAATATAAATTAAGGCACTATTTAATTAAATTTAAGGGGAGAAAAGAAATATTAGATGTAATAAAAATACACATCTGAAGTTGACGATGTTCCTCCTGGGAGTGAAACTTAAAAAAATGTAATGGAAATTAATAAATACACTCATGAATATAATAATTATTAAACCCCTGGCCATATTATAACTTAATAATTATCAACAGTTGACTGTATTACTTAATACATTACAATATTAAATTTATGTAACAATTTGAAAACCAAGGGAAAAGAATGATTTTTACCCATTTTTCACAAAAATATTGACTTTAATCACTATCTGAACCACTTTCAGGATTAGTAATTTTAACAAATCGATAACAGGGAAAATCAGTTCTCCCTGAAAGTTGAATCACTTATAAGATAAGTGATTCAACTTTCTATCTCCACATAGATCTATCCCCACATAGATAAGGCGAACAAAGAAATGTATAGTGAAAAAGACTAGGAGTTCCACAGTGGAAGTATTGATTGGAGAGAAATATTGAGGAAGAAACAGTCCTTGTCCAATCCAATTTGCGAATCTTATTTTTTCTCTACATCAAAAATTGTAAATTTTGTTTTGGAATTTTTAAGGAATTAAAATAAGTACTTGTGGTATCCATGTATATTTTTATGATTTCAATCATATTCCAGTTCCTGAGCAAATTCAAACGTTAAAATTTTTTCTCACAAAATCAACTTTAAAGGACATAAGCTGCTTTTCCCCTCGATTTTCATTCTGCATCAAAATTTTATAGCATCTGTTTGCTCTTGCTTAAATATTCATTAGCAGTTTTTACTGAAGCAGCAAAAATATACAACAAAAGACAAAAAAATAATAATAAAGTAACTGAAATATTTCTTTAAATACAATTTTTAATTTTTTAAAATTATTTATGAAATTTAATGTCTTATACTATGAAAATAAATAAGTTTTTGAATTCCATTCAAGTTTTCTATTACTTAACTATTTAACTCCTATAGTTTTTAATATATATAATTCATTTACAATCAATATAATTCAATTCATCATCCATTTTCAATACTACTGAGTAGATCATACATAATTAGAAATTACACATATTGCAATTATTGCCATACATTTACAATGTATACAAAATACTATATTAAAAGAAAGCATACCCTGTGATTTTTCTTTTTCCAACTTTAATTTTACTTTAGCAGCTTCAACCAGCTAATTAAAGAGATAGAAATTGTCTCAGAAAAAAATTACGTTCTGCAAGTAGCAAGTTTTACAATAGAACAAATTTAAGAAGAAAAAAAAACAAATTACAGTTAAACTAAAACTTACCAACTCTATAAAACTTGAAAACTTAATGCGGTTAAAAACTTCATCTTTTTTGTGCAAACAATCTAAAAGAAAAATACATTAATTTTTGTGGACATTTATGAATTTTAATATAGCTTGAATCTAATTTAAAAGGAACTATTTCTTCAACATACATTATTTTTAAGAATTCTTAATTTTCAAATTTTATCAATGGCAGTACTTAGCACGTTTTGAATTGATAATATAGCCTTTTTTATTTTCTAGATATTGTATTTAGTTCATTTATATTAGTTTGGTTTTAATTTTTTGACTTAGCACTAAAACTATATTAATAGACTAAGTCTGTGATTCATCCATAACGATTATTTTAATACAATAATATCGCAAGTGTATTGTAGTACTGTACAACCACAATTTAGAACAGAGGACAGATAGAGGAAATTATAACCTGATCTCCCCCATTGGCGATTCATTCATGGATTTTTCCTGCTCCATAATAATTTGTATTAAGGAAATATTTAAGCTAATACAATTGAAAGCATACTTCTTGCCTTGAAATCTCATGTAATTTTAAACTTTGATAGTTCTTTGACATTTTTTGTTGCATCTGAATAATTTACAAACTTTTCTTAAAAAAATTTTTATCGCAGGATATTTAATTCATTCAACTAATTTGTCAGTTAATACACAAAATATTATTGAAAAATTTTAATTGTGTAAAGAGAGATTCCATAGGAATTTTCAAATAACCAAAGGAAAAATTTAAGAAATTGAGAGACCAGAATAGGGGAATACATTTCCTTTGCTGCTTAACGAATTTAAATGTGAAAATCAAAAGGGGGGAAATTTATAGTAATCACAGGGTTCTGTCTAGGTTTTCCTGAGAGGTACCTATTTTGTGAAAATTTAGACATAATTTGTGAAAATTAAGAATTATATTAAAGAAAAATCAACACAAAAATATAGATTTATCGTTTCCTACGAGACATAAATAAAAGTTGAATTTGTGAAGGTACCGCTAAACGGTAGTAAATTTGGCTTGGACAGGACCCCTGAATCAGCTCTTTAGTGCAGGTGCTATGTATATCAATTACACTTCAGCAATATTTGTCACATGCATCACGCATAGTCATTTAACCAACTGATTTTAATTGGTAAGTTTTGACACAAGCAGTATCTTCTTCTTAGATTTTTCAAAACTACATCTCAATAGGAACAGGGTTCTCGTTAAGAAAATTAATTAAAATTCTATTAAAGTTAAATGTTAACAGGACAAAATTCTTTATATTTCAGTCAAGGAAGCTCAACTAAAGCCAAAATTAATAATTATGAACACTAAAACAAGCTTGTTGAAAACAGCAGTCAGTTGTACACTGTTCCTTCAATTTTTTGTAATATATAGTCTAGTTATTTAGCATCTTCAATTACTACATTCTCTCTATTGTAATGAGATATATGAAGTTCTATTTGCTATTCCATAGCTACAATGTCATTTTAACATGATTAAAAGGCCAGAATTGAACCATTGAGAATGAATCAGAAGAAAATGTCAATTTTCCCACTATCCACTTTTTCTTAATAATTTATCAAAAAAGCCTGAAAAGGAAAAGGTCAAACCTCTAAATGCAAAAGTTTTTGAAGTTTAATAATATGTAGTTTTTTTCTTGTAAAACTAAAAATTTAGATCAAAGTATGTGTTTGCGCATAGTTAATTTTAAAATGTGTAAAAAAATTGAATATAATGTAAACCCAGAAGTGAACAAATAATTAATATACAATTTTATAAGAAAATGAATACTGTAATTTAAAAGCATAATCCAAATCTAGGATTACTTCGTACTGCAATTTATATGCATTGTAATTCACGTACAGTAAGTCATTAATTGCCTAGATACAAAAATTAAAAAATTTTAAATTTTTTTTATAACTTCAGAATGTCTAGAATTGGATACCTGCAAATGACATCCCCATAGGTATACCGTGGCATTTGTCAATTAAGAAGCCAAACAGGTTTGACACACACATACCTTTGCTTCCAATCCAAGGTATCCAATTAAATATGATTTAAATCACATGATTAGACATAATCATGTCACATCTTCTTGAGTTGCAGATACCAAATTAAAAACAAAATGTCTGTTTTGTAATTGGTCACAATAACTGTTGCCATTTGAACAACAAAATGTCTGAAATTTTGGTAACAAGTAAAATAAATATATTAGAGATATTTTAAAAATGAGTTTATTTTAAACTAAACTTCTACCCTGAAAAATACAAAAATTGAATACAAAATATCATAATTACAAACAAAAAAAATGTTTTTAATATTTAAAAAAATGGTTGTATAATCCATTTTATTTACTTTTTTGTTTTTCTCTAAGTTCATCAATCTGTTTTTGAACAGTAGAACCTGCAAAAAAGTGTAGAAAAAAAACATAAGAAAATATAAAATAGAAATGCAAATAAATATAAAAATGACAAAATTTATCAAGCAATTACCATTTTGCAGTTTAACAGATTCTAAAAACATATTATACATCTAAATATTAAAAAAAATAATAATAATAATAAATGGATTTATACATCTATACAGTACAGAACCCGTTATCCGGAAATCAGAAAACCAAAATGCCGGAACGAAATTCGATAAATTTTCCCGCAATTTTTAAAAAAAAAATTTTTTTTTACTCATAAGATTTTAGGATTTTTCTTTCTTTTTTGAAAGATGTTTACCTTACCATCGTTTTGGAAATAATCATTAGTGTATTAGTTCATCGTTTTTTCTTCTTTTTAAGATTATTTCCAAAAATTAATTTTTTTAGTTGGGTTTAACAATAAAAAAAAATGGTTTTTTGTAGCGATTCAGAAAAATCATTTATCCGGAATAGCGATTGTCCCGATCGTTCCGGATAATTGGTTCCCTACTGTATTAAATAATTGTCATAAAAAAAAGCAATAGTAGATCACATATCATTTAAAACATCCACTCAATGATAAGGAAAAAATTATTTAAAATCATAAGACCTATAGTTATAGATAGTATTAGGTACCTACTTATCCATTTCAGAAGGCTAAAACAATCCCCGTACCATTATTAACAACAGTTGTGCTTAATTATTTGACATAATATGTATTACTAGTATTGGGGTTATAGTTTTCTAATATATTAATATCGGTATCTAAAAGAAACTGAACATAGGTTTTTTGGTAACACCTAGGCGTTTTATGGATTCTGTAAACAGTATGTTATAGGGAATGAAATCCCACACTGTTTTTGGCTCAGTGGGATTTGAGGAGTCATAATGTAAGTCAGGATTGAATTTTGGGAGAGAATCAACAGGTTTAGATTTTTACTTATAAAAACAGTAAAGAAGATTGACTAAAATATTGCAGATAAAATACTAAAAATGCAGAAGATTTTAAAATTTTCCCCGAATTAAAGAATAGCACAAATGTATAATGAATAACGAAGAAATATAATGGTTCAACACGACCAACACTAATAAATGTGAAATAGAAGAAAAATATGGTGCTTTTATTGGACTATTAGATGCTTAACTTCTTACATAGGTAAATAGTTGTGATAATATATATTACTGTGATTAAAGTTTTCTAATAAATTAACATAGATATTACAAAGTATCTAATATTGATTCCTTGGTAATACCTAGGTTTTTAACAAGCTTTGTAAACAGATAAGTACCAGTATGTTTTAGGAAATGCAATCCCACATTGTTTTTGGATCAATGGGATTTCGAGAGTTGTCGACATAGTTGGGATTAAATTTCGGGAGAGAATAAACAGGTTGGGATTTTTACGGGAAAAACAATGAGAAAAATAGTAAAGAAGATTCACTAAAATATTGCAGAAGAAATTACTTAAAATGCAAAAGATTTTACGAATTTTCAGTTTTTCCCATCTTTAAAGAATAGTACAATTGTAAAATGAATAATGAAGGAATATAGTGGTTCATCACAATCAGCACAAATAAATATGAAAAACAAGAAAAACATGGCCTTTTTTTTGTAGTATAGAGTAGGGCTGGGCAATGTCAGAATTTCGATATTGTGGTATATTGTGAGCTTCATATCACGATATTATGATATACCGCGGTAATTAAATTGTTATGTATATTATAAATGCTAAGACTATTTTGCAATTAAAAATTAATGTGTTTAAAGAGCATCATTTAAAAAAAATGGGGTACTTATCCTATATTAGCTCGCAGCATAATTATCCCATGGAATCAACTAATTATAAAGCATCATTATTTTAAAACAGAAAAATTTTATTAATATAAACATCAATTACTAATATAAACATCAACACAATTATAAACATCAAAACAGTTATAAACATCAACACAATTATAAACATCAACAATTATAAATATCAACACAATTATAAACATCACAAGGAGATCCGACAATCTCGGATATTTTTAAAATCAGAAGCACGCTATTCTCAAAATGAAACCAAAATCAGTAACTAAGTATACCATGGAGGGTTGATATAACGCGCGGGTGTTTGAAATCCGATATCGCCAATACCACGGATATGACGCATGCGCTTTAAAGTCAAATGATACCACAATATATTGTAGGAGAAATTTCTAGCTGCCGAGAGGAGGTACCGTAAATATTACGCGCAAGCCTTTGAGTTCTTCACCCCTAAATCAATCACGTGCCATACCAATACCTCCTAGATACCATACCATACCGCCACTTCCTCGCCGCCGGTCGGCCGAAGATATTGGCTAGCGGTGAGTACCGAGAGGTGCAGGCATACCGAAGTTCAATAACTCGGTATTGCCGAAGAATATACTTCCGAATATCATTACCGCGGTATCAAAGAAATACCGGTAAATGACGGTATTACGGTATATTGCCCAGGCCTAGTATAGAGATGCTTAACATTTTATATGCTGCATTAATTAATGACATACAATATGAATCAGGCAGAAAGTTAGCAAAATTTCAAGATGTCATCATCTCAACAAGGTAGACAGAATCTATCCTCCCACATGAATGTATACATACGTAGTTCTAAAAAGCTACAAAATTTTAATGCATATTTTCAAAATACAGAAGATTTGAACCTCTGTGCAGAAACGCAAAATACGGAAGATTTGGGGTAAATGCATGTAACGCAAATGCGGAGGATTCGACAGGTATTCAGCAGCATTAAGGCAGAAAATAAACATATAACAGAAAATTAGTTTAAAATTACTTTAAAAACGAACTTAAACGATAAAAAAAGTTAGAAATATTCAAATACAATTGTCACTTTCACATTCTTACATTAAACTTTAATAATTTTTCTTATAAAATAAAATAGATTTATTTCCCTAGAAAGTAATAAAATAGCAATAACCTGAATTTACAGCTGGCTTCACATGTTGATATTTTGGATTACCAGGAATTCTTTTGTTCAGTGCCTAAAAAAGTAGAAAAACATTTTAACTAAAATTATGGCCATTAAACCATTAAACAATTTTATAACGATACGGTTTCATATCATTTTAAGTCTTACATTTCTAAAAATTGTTTAAAGATATATCATAAAACTATCTTTTAAAATTAATGATAATGGATTAATGGTAAGATTAAGTACCTGTCGTTCCGAACAATATAAAACTTCAAAAAATGGAGTAAAACATGCAATATGTATGGAACAAATAAGTGCTATGGTGATAACTAGGATGTGACAGAAACTGGAACAAATATAGTCAAATCTCTTTTTTTTTCCAGTTGTTTTTAATTAACAGCAACCACCAAAGAATGTTTATAGAACCAAGCTTCTTTCATAGGTTTACATTTAACAGTTATTCCTGAACTAGGACCACTGGTTGCAAGCATGAATTTTGCTTCCAGGTAATTAAAAAAAATTGGAAGATTTCCTGCATTGTGATCTGTCACAGAATAATCGCCCAGATTTTGCAACATCCAAGCAACAGGAAACAACATATATTTAACAGTTATTCCTGAACTAGGGTCACTGGTTGCACACATGAATTTCCAGGTGTATGAAGTTTCCAGGGAATTGAAAAAAATTGGAAGATTTCCTGTATTATGATCTGTCCTACAATATTCACCAAGACTTTGCAACATCCAAGCAACATGCCACAAAAAACTAAAACAAAAAATAGCACAGGATATCAACTCAAAGCGTAAAACTTGAAGCCGCCCCCTTCGACAAACCTCTACATTTGGTATTTGAAGTTAGTATGACAGATCATGATACAGAAATATTCCCTAATTGACCATTGGAAAACCAGCTTTCTCTCAATCCTTGTATTCTTATCATTGTATAGGAATAATTTTTAAACATTTAAACTGAAACAAATCATAGAAAAATTTTAAGAATTCAATTTCGTCTAATACAAATAGTCTGCATCTTTCATTGATGATTTGCATGAATCACATGTTCCAGTATAAACGAAAGGAAGCAACTTCTAATGAGTCATTGGTTAGCTTTCATTTCAAGTAATTTTAAGTAATTACTCACGCATGTGCAAAAGAAATAACTTGTGCATAAACCATTAACCAGACCAATATTTGTTTTTTTTATTTTTTCTCGTTCTAAACACTATTATACACAATTTGAGTAAATGAATATTTCCAAATATGAGAGATGATCACAAGCAAAATTTCTTACGTTGAAGTATAAAATCAAATTTCAAATGAACATACAAAAATTAGCCACGCGATATGACTCAGGAAAAAGTGATCTTATAGGATCAGTATTTTAGAAGAGTGAATTTGGTTAACAGAATTTCTACAACAGCTACAATGTAAAACTGGTTAAGTACAATCCCGCAAGGGATCACAATTTGATTTTTTACTATATGACAAAGAGGGAAAATGTGAAGTGTATCAAAGGTAGCCATCTTGAATATTGTTTAAATTAATTCAAAGAGAGACATAGGAATGGTAAAGAATTGTATTTATAAAAAAGTTATATTTGAAAATAATATTTATTAGAAACATACATGATTTATTAAAAAAGACACTTCAAAGAGCAAAAACAAATTTTACTGTTTCATCAATATTATTTTACTGTCTTTTCTGCATATTTTATTATTAAATCCCTAAAGAAGCATACGGAAGTGATTCAAATAATTTTTACTCCAGTTAAAGTTTTATAATTCGATGAATAATTATGAGATAAAACAAAGTTCCTTAAAATTTAAAGTGATTTCAAGTTATTAATATAAATTCCAGGGACCGATTTAGCAAGCGAAAAACATGATTATAGTACAAAAAAAATCGAAATTTTTATGTTTTTAAAAAGTATTTTTAGTTTTCTATAGATTCATATTTCAAATTATTGCTAGTACCTGGCTTTTGATAATGATATTCTGTTTTTAAGGAGTAAATTGAAGTTAATATTTAGATATACTTTGAAATCAAACTTTAATTTTCCAAATAAATATTTATTTTTCTATGTTTATATTATTCACTTTACTTCAGGGTTGTCAAGCTCTGAATAAAGCGTATTAATAATTGAAAGCGTTAATTTACTTAGTCAGACAAAAATTGCACAAAGACTTTATTTAGTTGATACTCAATACATTTAAATTAGTCAAGATTTAATGATGACTTAAGATACCTGATCATTTGATACGTATGAGCCGAAATTGAAGGGTTTATTTGAAGAATGCATAACCAAATCATTTAGATAATTTAAAATTTAAAAGGAAAACTAAGAATTTGACTGTAAACACAAATTTACAGTTAAAGTTATAAACAGAAAAAAATCTAATGAATTATTTTGATTCAATATTTTGAAAAGTGACTCGTTGAATTTAAATGACTAAGCGAATTTAAAACAAAAATTTAATTCGCAAAAATCTGCAATTTTATTTCTGGTTTGATATTTTAAAAAATAATTCAGAATAACTGATGTAGTAGATAGCTAGATTAACAGATATAAGCACTCGGAAGTGACGTTGTTTAATAAACAAACTTGCTTATATTTCTATTGCACTGTACGAAAATTCCTTAAAATTGAAGTACATTCCTCATTATTTAACTAACAAATATGCCTAAAGTTGTGTCTAGAAGTATTGTATGTTCAGATACAAAAGATCAAGAAGAATATAATGAAGACAAACCTCTAAATGTGTATTACTGCTTATGTGGTAACATAGCGTTAATTTTAGGTAAGTTTAAATTTAGAGGCATTAGTTATGTTTTGTCAATATTAAATCAATTGTTGGGCTAAAAATGAGGGATGTTTATATGAACGCCAAGGTGCCAAAACGTTTTTATACTTGTAAAGATTAAAAAATAAAAAAAACATATAGAGGTTTGCGCAAAGGTTGCGACGAGTTATACCCTTCGAGTTATCGGAGATCTTTCCATATCGTGATCTGTCGCCCCAACTACAATGTGCCATATAGATCTTAGACTGAAATACCAAAAATACATGTAGATGTGGCTACGAGTTATACATTTCGAGTTGGTCCCTTTCTGTGATGTTTTTTTTTTATAGTTTCTCGCTGGTCGCTGCCTGGAAATTGCCAAGACGTGGCGATCATTCTGCCGCAGATCACGACACGGAAATCTCCCGGAGTTGTCCATATGGAAATGTTATCTTCCTTCCTCGGCGACTCTTCGCCAACTTGCCGTAGTTATGATAATATCCCCCATATGGAAATCTCTAAAAAGGATTTCTCATATCAAATTTTAATGATGTTATTATAATATTTCGAGTTCCATTGGTACATCTTGAAAATAACAATGTGTAACATGCATCAATATGTGTTATTAGTAGCTAATTTTTTCATACTTATGTTGAATTTTCCAGGAAATTTTTTTTCTTTCAAAATTTTATTCTTTTTTTAATTATTTTTTATGTTCTAAATTCTGTCTGTCAAATTAGGCAGCATAAGATGACTTAAACAAGAGAAAACAACATATCATATTTTGTTCGTCCTAACCAAAATACTAAGTAATCATTTCTCGGAGCTTGTACTCATAAATCAGCAAATACACGGAAAAGTAAACATCCGCTTTGAAGGCGGGAATAGACCAGTTAATTAGCGCTGTCAGAGGTGATAACCAAAAGATGTACACTACCCATTTTTCTGCAAAGGATCCATTCCTAATCTTTACACTCCTATTTCAGGCCCTATTTGAGACTTTATTCACACTTTTTGTTTCTTTTGGCTGCTTGCCAGTTTTCCATATTATATGTGGGCTATCAGTATTTTTTCTAAATAATAATATGTAAGTAAATAATAACTGGACTAAATGTAGCTATAAATTTGAATTTTTAAGTTTTGACCTCTTAAGTTTTTTTTTACTCTGTATTTTTTCACTTCTTTTTTACCTATAGGTTTGTCACCAAAACTCCCCCCCCCCCCCAAAAAAAAANCCCCCCTCCCCCCAAAAAAAAATGTCTGGTAGGCTTGAAAAATCAGGTAGAACTTGAAAATACATTTTTGCAAGTATTTCAAATGTATTACTTTTCTCCATTTTTCAGATTGTGCTATAGAAAGATTACCTGTACGGCCAAGAGATGGTGCTCGAGTCATTGATGGAGACAAGCATGCTCACAAATTAACATGTGAAACAAGTGAAACTATTTACCTTAAAAGGTAAAAATCTTTTATTATAAATAATTGATTTTTATTTCTAAAGTTGAGTTTTCAAAATAATTAATTGAAAAATTGAGTGTTTAGACTATTTTGGAGAAAATTTTCAGAATTTCCATTGTTAAAAAAATATATCTTTATAAAGTGCACAAGATATAATAGTTCTTTAAAAGATGAAATATTTTCCATAAGTTATCATTTTTAATCAAATAATGTGTGGGGAAATTTTAATTTGTCTCATGCAAAAGATTTTCACTTCATTTGCTGATTTAAATTTTTTTTACATTTATATTTTTACGGCCACACCCGCGGAACAATCTTTAATAAATCTGTCCAAATTTTTGCATTCGCTGATGACATTGATGTTGTCGCACGAACTCCTGAGGCACTAAAAGAGGCTTTTACGTCACTTGAGGCCGCAGCCTGCAGAATGCATCTTGTAATCAACCAGGTCAAAACTAAGTATATGACCTGTACCAAATATACCAGCCCTTGTCTTGTAATTGGGGATTATAAATTTGAAAACGTGAACAATTTTAAATGCTTGGGATCTGAAATCAATAGTCTTAACGACATCCTGCCTGAGATCCGTAGTAGAGTCACAGCAGCTAATCGATGTTTTTTCGGTCTTAAAAAGTATCTGAAATCTAACTTCATCAGCAGAAAAACAAAGATTCTGATTTACAAAAGTTTGATAAGACCCATTCTTTTTTACTCTGCTGAGACTTGAACAATGACAGAAAAAGTAAAGCACACTATTTCTGTGTTTGAAAGAAAAGTTTTAAGAAGCATATTTGGTGGCCTTAAATGTAACAATATCTGGAGAAGAAGAACTAACTCCGAACTTTACATACTATTTAAAGAACCTGACGTAGTCAAATATATTGCAATTCAGAGAATCAAATGGGCGGGACACCTATCAAGAATGGATAATAACCGCATTACAAAAAAGATCTTCTCTGCCAGACCATTAGGCACTCGCAAAAGAGGAAGACCTAGACTTAGATAGCTCGACTGCCTCGAAAGTGATTTAAATATTCTAAAAGTCACAAATTGGATGTCTCTGGCTAAGTGTAGAAGAGCCTGGAGTTCAACTCTGTGGAAGGCAGGGGCCCATCCTGGGCTGTCAGCAGGGCCCGACTTAGAGTAAGTGGGGCCCGGAGCAAAAACTTCTTTGGGGGGGCCCCCTCTGCTTCACTATTTCAGTAATGAAGGTATTTAATATGGAGGAAATTAAAGATATTTAGTTTTGAGGTATTTAAATTTTTCACCTCATTATAGATAAGAAAGTTGACTAGAACCTAAAATAGCTATGAAGTCCCTCCCCTCCAGTGGTTAGAAAAAATATCGTTCTATCCATTTGATTGATTTTCTGATAATTCTATGTCCATCATGCCAAATGCAGTTTTCTGATTGTTGACTTTGTCATCTAGCAGCGAAAAATTCATATCCTTGCTGACATTAGGGCTAAATTTACGCAATTACGATGGCTCAATAAAGTCAATCGGAAGCCTGTATTTTTGTAAACATATCGCATTGTGCCAGGTGGAAAAATACAGGCTTTTGATTGGCCAAATTTGTCAATCTTAATTGCGAAATTTTAGCTGATATTCCGTCTTAGAAAGTCATGGATTTACTAAATATAGATTGTGTTCATGCAATAGATTAATGAAGAAGCTAACATAAAACTGACGGATTTTACACTGTACTGATATTTTGCTTTAAAAAAGTTCCTTAAAGAATGTAACGCAAAATAATCGATTTGGGGGCCCCCTCTAATGTGTGGGACCGGGGCAACTGCCCCGTATGCCCCTGCCTTAGTCAGGCTCTGGCTGTCAGGCCAATGAAGAAGAGGAAGAATTTTATGGCCAGAATGATTGTTTGCCTCACCAATAACTCTAATGTTCTGCCATATTTGAAATATAATTTTTAAAACTATGAAGTTTTTGTAATTCTGTTGCATGTATCTTAGATACTTTTCTCTCTCGGTAAACTGCTTCCCAGCCTTTTAAAGCGGATTGTTATTTTATTTAATTTTTCCTTCTTCAGTATATAAAATAATAATTAAATTCACCATTAATTTTATGGTTTATATTAAATTTTTAAGGATGCTGGTGGAAAATTACAGAATAAACACTAATATTTTCTAATAATTTATGGTGCATCAAAAGATATTTTGTAAATTACAATAACGTCACATATATTGTTTTTATTATTGAATTTTAAACTTTTCAAATTGTTAAATCTATCTTTCTTCATTATAGAAAACATTAACTATTGCAAAGTTTGCATTTTTTTCTTTCTTCAAATAAATAAGTTAGGCAAATGAAGATTAAACTGTGATAATTGGTTCTGACTGTCCACTGAAATTGTTTTTTGAAATTTTTTTTTTTTTTTTTTGACTATTTCCATTTTATTCCCCATTTTAATTTCAAACCAAAATCATCTCATCATTATTTATATATTCATTAAAAAAATTTTTAAAAAATTAATTCTGAAAAAATTTACCATTTTATTTATTTTTTATTGTTTAAAATTGGCAAAATATTGCAGAAAGAATAGTAATTGTGATTTAACCTATGAATTTAATAAAGAGTCAAAATTTTTTAAATGTTATTTAAATATTTCGGCAAATTACATGTTTTTCCTATATTTTAGGAACTACTTTAACAATATCTTTATTAGTAATTTGTATTATTTTCTTTAATAAATTCTGTATTTTAGGGAGGAAGGTGTTGAAAAACAGTATCGAAAAAAATGCAAGAAGTAAGTAGCTTTTAAAAAATATTATTTTGCACACTTTATTTTAAACATTGAAATGTAGAAATTTATTTCTTAGTATAAAATAACATGTAGTACTTGAGACTAACCTATGAAAAAAAAAAAAAATCTGAATAGTTTAAGATCTTTAACAAAGCCCGGGTTTAGTTCATATTGCCAACGCCTATTATGATAATTTCACTGACAGCTCATATCATTTTACTATATAATCATTTTACAAAGGCCATTGGTTGAATTTTGATTTATATATTCTGACAAACTTTTTTTATTAAGTTTTTTTTGTTATTATTGTTTGGAAAGTTTTTAAAATTATTTGACATTTAAAGTGTATTATTTTGCAGTAATTATAAGTATATTGCTAAATAACCTACTTACTCAAAAGGTTGATTATTGCTGTGACCTGAGGAATCATTTAAAAAATATCAAAATGTTTAATTACAGTATCACTTGAAATTTTTTTATTATTTAATAAATATATTCTTATTGAAAAGAATTGTTTTGGTAAATAATTTGGATTATGTGATGCCATGTAAAAATCCCTGGCTACAGTCCTACAAATAAAGTTTTATAGTCCTGTTTAGAATTTCTTCTTCTTTGTCTGCGCAACAGCCCCTTGCACGCCTTGGCTGCCACAATAGCCCCTTGCAGGCCTTGGCTACCGCAACAGCTGACAAATGTCAGTGCCTCCTATCCATGGCAACTTCCTTTCAATTTCTAATCTTTGGGGTTTTCATTGCATTTTCGATGTCGTTGAGCCATCTAGTAGGAGGCCTGCCTCTGGGATATGATCCCTTGGGGGTTCTTAAAGGTGAATATTCTTTTCCATAGGTGGCCCAGCCATCTCAGCCTATTACTGCGGATTATTTATGAAATTTGGGGCTGCTTATTGAGTCAGTAGAGCTCCAAGTTATATTTGGTTTGTTTATAATTTACTATTTCTTTTTTTTACTTTTTATTTTTACGATATTTTTTTAAAATGTAACCATTACAATCCTGCTTTTACAAATCTCCGGTTGGGAAACAGCTGTTTAAATTATCATACATAAGGCAATGAACAACAAAACTTTATGCTAATATTGGCCTTTACCTATATTGGTTATGTTATTCGAAATTTGGTTTTAGTTAATATTCTATGTATTAATTTCCTCTTTATTTGTTACTGGGACTGAAATTATTTATAATTTATAACTGATATAAATTGTTAACTATAACATATTTTAAATGTACTCACTTTATTAACAATCATAATTACACATTATGTAGGTGTGGAATTATTCTGTTCTACCAGCATCAGCCAGATAGCAAAGTTACATTTATATTTAAAGGCGCTGTATGTAAAGTCAGAGATGGGCACTCACAAACTAGTGTTTATCCTCTTATTCCTGAACCTAAAAAAGTAAGTTTGTATTTTTATATATACTGTTCTTGATTTATTAAATTTTATTGACTTTATAGATTTTGATTAATCTTTTGATGTCTTGCATATTATCCTTAAATACACTGTAACCAAATTTCAAGATTTTTAACGGAGGAAACTATATTATACTCCTTGTAATTAAAAATGACGCATAGCAAACTAGTGTATAATAATAACATACTACTGTGAAAAAAAACAGTAAGATTGAAAAGTATTTACAAAGACTATAAAAGATTTGCTTTTTTGCTTGTCATGTACAAGATGAATATAATGAGACATTTAAGCTTTTAAAGTAAATTCAAGCTTGTTTATTGCAAGTCTTGATTTAACTTTTAATTATATGTTTGGTTTTTATTTTGATATTAATAAACTTACATAAAACTATATTTATACGAGTGCAACTTGCATTTTATGGGGAAGTTTTTATAATCATTCTGAAAATTATCTTTCATTCAAGAACATTTGAAAGTTCATGAGTACGTTTCCATTTGCTCATGAGTCTACTTTTATTTTTCTGCTCAAATGTTTGTAAAGCATGTTTAATATTGCAATGGCTTACTTTTTTTTCATTCACATCTTTGACAACAAAGTTCTCTACAGAAAGTTTTATGACTAATGGATAACATTGTGAATATTTTGAACATATTATTGACATTAACTGATAATATGATTTAGTTTCCATTACAATTTTAACTATAATGAAAAATAAAGAGTAGGTTTAAAATGATTTTAATCATTAAAAATATGATTACAAATATTTGACAAAGTGTGAAAATTAGGACATAGATGAGGTTTTAACAGAATGGCTTTGTGTTCAAGGTAAAGTTGCTTTCAGCTATCAATTCATAATCAATAATGTATTTGGCACAATGAATGTTAAATCATTATCAAAGGTTCCCTTCTGTGTAAATAGAAAAACAATAAAACACATTTTTAAATATTTTCTTTGGTGCATTAGTTTTTATAATTTTGGTTAATTCTGGTTTAAGGGGCACTTCAATTTTACCAGGAAATGGTCTTAAGTTATTTTATAAATGCGGTTGATTGTATAAGTATGATTAATATTATAAATCTTAACATATGTTTAATGAAATAATTAGTACATTTAATTAGATATTAAAACCATATATTCATTTAGAGAACCTGTTGATATTTTTGAATGCATGTATATAAATGTTGCTTGCATGCATGTTGGTAATTGAAAACTTTCGAGTTAATTATCTTATTAAATTATTTGTTTTTTGTTTTTTTAAATTTTAGATCATGGTTACAAAACATACAAAGAATATGGGTAAATTCAGCTCTGTAACTGTTTCTACAATTGATGAAGAAGAGGAAGAAATTGAAGCAGTAAGTATACTTTTCAAAAATGATTCCTAGCTTTCCAGAATTAATTTAAATAACTGTAAGTAGGACTTTTTTTAAAAATATTTATCAAAGTAAACAGCTATGATTGATTTAGTATTGAAAAGATAGTATAAATATTAAAACTCCCTCAATATTTAGATGCAAATCAGTAATCTACATAAAAAGTATCTTGTTATTTTTCTCTTTTTTTTCTTCTTAATTGTAATGTATTGAAAATAAAACTATTTTTTTTAAATTTGCATTCATGTTTCTCAAGTTGAATGTGCCATTTTTTTTAAGTTTTAATTTTTAAGAAATATGACTTGTAAAAAATAAATTTAATGTACTAAAAAACTTAACCATTTTCTATTATAGATTTAAATGCAGTGATGTACAGTTTTTTGTTCTCAGAGCCTCTTAAGCTTGCCCGCCAAATATTAAGAGACAATATGAAAGAAAAAAATAAAATAAAAAAGCATAACATAAGACATAAACTAAATAATATTTAAATAAAAAGTGAAGCTCAGTAATTGGCAAAGAAAATTGAAAGCAAACAAATTATTAATTTTCAGACTTCTATCTTTAATGTATTGATATTTATTTCTATGTACTAATATAACTTTAAAATATATTTCTAACTTCTATCTTATATATAATTATAAAAATACTGCAATAAGTTACCTAATTTATTTGAATTTACTTACCATTACATTAAAAAATTTTATTTTATTATATATGCTCAAGTAAAAAAAAAAATCTGTGCATATGTGAATCATGCCTACATTATTGCTATTGATTAATTATGTAAATAAAATAAATGTATTTTAAATAATTTTATTTATACAAAAATAATAAATACATGGTGAGAGTACTATATTAGTACTGTAATTTTTGAAGGTGAGAAAAATAACTTCATTCAATAAATGAAAATAGCACTCTGTTAATATTTCCCTATAGTAATTATAATATATCCACAAATGTAATGTAATTAATATACTTCTTACATATATAATAATTAAATATAAGTGATTAACGAGGTTAGAAAACAGTTTAGAAAATATGTATCTTAAAAATTATTGATGATAATAATTGTTTTTCAGAGAGAGGTTGCTGATTCATATGCCAATAATGCAAGAATAATAGAGAAACAGTTGGAAAGAAAAGGAATGTATAAAAGGAAATCTTTGGAACAGGTAATTTAAAATTTACAAATTATATTTTTGTAATGAGTTTTTAAAATTATCTATGATTTTTTATACATGTTGTGTGTGCATAAGTTCTTATTGTATAAAGCAAAGCACCTTTATGACAATCGTTATATGGTGCAGATACTTACATTACAGTAGAGCAACAGTTATCAGGGAATGACTGATTTTTTTAAAAAAAAGTGTAATAAAAAACTTTTATGAAGAAAGTATATACTATTTTTTTCGTTACCAATAGCTGTTTCAATAATTTAGACATAGAACAAAGATTTATGTTGTGTGTCATACTTATGAATGAATACATTTTGTAATTAATTTTCATATTTCCACTTGTACTTTTTGAGTTATTTATTTATTTTTTGGATTATCAGTTATTTTTGTTATCTGTGTGGCCCCTTGTCACCCGATTCCACAGATAATCTAAGCTCTACTGTGTATACATTACTGATGATACTCATAACGTCTAAAAAATGTTATCGGAGAAGTGTATGCAAAAATCAACTGCTGACTGAAAATAAATAATTTTTAACACTTTCATAACTGCCAACTCAACTATATTTTCCAGTATATTATTTCCAGATTGTAATTTTCTACTGGTTTAATAAATATACTTATTCCTTCTGTAATAAATATACTTATATTCTGCTTAATAAATATACTTTACTTATTCCTCATTTCTAATGAGAGTCACAAAAAGAAGTTTCAAAATCGTTTATATTATATGAAACAGATTGTTAGTACAACCATTAGTGTAAAGATTTAGTTATATAGTTAATATAGATTGCTACACGAGTTAAGATGTAAATATTTTAATGAATCTTCAAACACATAATTTACTTATCCATCTAGTTGTTGTTAACAACCAGCTAATTATTTTAAGCTTAGGTTTGATACCATTCATAAAATCGAAGTTAAAAAATTTATTGTATTGTAAAAAGATAAAAAATTATTATTGTCAAAGTTTTGTAGTTGGAAGTTTAAATATTGGAGTTTAATGTACTTAAATGTCTTGAAAAAGAGTGAAAAATAAGCATATTTTTAGTATTTAAAATTACTTGAGCTAATTTACTTCGTTAACTTTTACAAAGGTATATAACACGGGTATATACATTTTATAACTTACATTGACTTGCATATTGATTTCTAGCATGTCCTCTATTGATATTTTATTTATTTATTTTATTTAATCTACTTTTATTTCTTTTGAAATTAAAGAAATAAACTTTTGGAAACAATGCTGTTCCCATGAAACACTTAGTGAAACAATGAAAACAAATTTACAATGCATGTGAACAATTTTAACTCATCAATTTCTAAATTTCCTATATTATGATTCTTCTGTTAAATAATAATTTGACTGTAAATAAAAAACACAACCAAGAAAATCCTTTATTTAAAAAAAAATCTTAAAAATGAAGAAAGGTAAATTTTAAATTCAACACTATATTGAAAAGAACAAATTCAATTTGGTCATTTTAACAGAGGAAAGGAATTCATTAATTGAATTAGAAACAGGACTTATTTCCATTGTTATAATCGAGAATAAATCATGTCAAAGAGTTGATTACATCTATTTACTTAAATGAGAAATTCAGTTGTGTGACTAAAAGAGAATGTATTTAAAAAAAAAGTATAAAAGTAATTATTGCTATAGTACACTGTTTAAATTTATTTAAACAAAAAAAAGTGTTATCAGTTTTATATGCATATATTTTAATTTATTTTAGGGTATATATATTGAACCAGAACTGAAGAAGAAACCAAGAGGAACACTGATTGATAAATAACATATCTTTTCATTTAAACTATGATACTTGATCATTATATTTGTACATAAATTATTCACCTGTAGTTTACTTTTGTAAATATTAAATTTGTTTTTTAAGATATAAGTGATGTTTTTGATTTTGTGGAACATGTACATACTTTAAAACATTAAACATAATTTTAAATTAATGCAGTACAGAACCCGTTATCCGGAAATCAAAAAACTGGAACGAAATTCGATAAATTTCCCGCCATTTTTAAAAAAAATGTTTTTTTTCCTCATAAGATTTTAGGATTTTTCTTTCTATTTTGAAAGATGTTTACCTTACCATCATTTTGGAAATAATTGTATTACTTCATCGTTTTTTCTTCTTTTTAAGATTATTTCCAAATATTTTTATTATTTTTTTTTAGTTGGGTTTAAGGATAAAAAAAACAGCTTTTTGTAGCGCTTAAGAAAAAAGGAAAAAATCAGTTTTCCGGAATGGCGATGGTCTCGATCGTTCCGGATAATCGGTTCCCTACTGTATTAAACATAATCAAAATCCCAAAGGCTATATTTATGAAATATTACTAACTGTATAATATGATGCAAAGAGAGATTGGGGCTGAAAAAACTTTTTAATCTGAATTTGATTACTACCCCCTTTTTTTGTAGTGATTATGTAAAAATCTGAATGATTCTGTAGGTTTTGGATTCATGATAATATGATGGACTTGACTGTTACTTCTTTATTGCTCAATTACATCTGAGCTAATATTTGAAAAACGTGAGCTATAAATGTTTTTTTAAAAAATACTTTTCGAAAATAATTAAATTTTCATGGAACAATCTAATTTTTTTTCTTCCTCTAACAGCTTCAATAAAATAATATTTAGAAAGTTGTTTGATTAAATGCAAGTTTTACATTAGTTTTTTCACATTAAACTGAACAATTTTAAAATTTTTTACTTGTTTTACCTAAAATCTCACTAAGGTTCACAAATGAGTTTGATTATCCACAGCTTTTTGTGACAAGATTTAAAAAGTGAAATATTATTGAACGGCTTGAAGTTCCTTCTTGCCATCACATGAACAAATTTTAAAAAATTATATAAGTAGAAAGTTTATGTGTAGTACTATTCAATTTTATAGTTATTAATTTATATTTACTAAAAAAGGGGGGAAATGAAGAGAAAAAACATTTTACAACAATCAAAGTTGAAAATTAACCTCATGCCAGTGATTTCTTAAAAATATTCTGAATTACTCTTGTAATTTTTTTTAAACAATTTACAACTCTTTCTATTTATTCATTTACTAATTATAAGTTGATACTTTTCTCAGTGCCAATACGAAAAAGTATGTTTATTTAGGGAAAATACATTAATATGTCTGATTTCAAAACTTAAAATATTGTCACCACTAATTAATTAGAATATTTAAGGTTATCTTTGAATCTTTTAGATTGAGCAAGTGGAAATCTAATCCTTAGATCAAAAGTTATTCGGGATGTTCATTTTTTTTTGTGTACTCTGTACATAAGTTCTGCACAACCCAGTTATCACAAAACTACTTCCATTCTCTGGAGAACTTGCACAAAACCTATATATACAAGCAGAATACTAGAGTGCAAAATCTCTCTTTATTAGGTATGATTTCTGATGTTTGAGTCCTTTTTTATGCTGTCATAATCCACCAATGGGATGTTATGTGATTTTCCATAGATGCAGAATCTCTCCTGAGAGTAAGTAACCGCTGTGCTAAATCACTTCAACCTAGAGGGAAAATTGTAAGATCTCGAAATTTGAAATGGGATTGAATTAAACACTGTGAAAAGCAAGTGTAGGTATACTGTTGTAAATTCAATGTAAAAAGATCTTATATTACAAACATTGATAATTGAACAATATTAAAAATCCTTCATTCATTAAACCTTAAGAAATAATTTAACGCCGACCGGCTTGTGTAGGGGGCAGGGAACTGTCCTTGCATCAGAAAGGTCCTGGGTTCGAATCTCGGTCAAGGTATGGATGTTTCTTTCTCTCTCTGTGAAAGTAATCTCTCTTGATAAACGTAAGTTTTATGAATTGTACAATTGAAACAAGTATTTTCAACTAAATTTATTAACAATATAAAGAAAAAAACATTTCAAGTCACAAACAATATCTATTGGAAATAAATCATGAATAAAGTTTAACTGCTGTTATTGCTTTTTTTCTTTATTTCCTGATTCTAGTTTCATTTTTCTAAATTCTTTACTAGCTTCCTTTAGCAAAATATTAGTTAAAGATGCTCCTGTTGGTTTAGGTTTTTGAGGCACTGGAGGGTATGGATTGTCTGAAAGTAAAAGATGTTTTTAATTACAAATTAAATTACAAGTTGATAAAAATAAAAATAAATAAAGTTAGTTCAATTTATACAGAGGGTATGAAATAAAAGTTATTTTAATTGATAAAATGTTTAATTTAAAAAGATATTTAACCTGGAAAATAAGATATTTTTTTTTACAAATAAAATTTCAAGTTGGGAGAAAGACAGCCCTGTGTAAAATAAACTAATAAAAATTAACTGCAATTAAATCAAAGATAACAAATACAAAAACTGAAATGTTACATCAAAATTTAGGAAATTTAAAAAACCTGTTTCGCTAGACTTGTTGCAAAGTAAATTTTTAAAATTAAATTATTTCTTTACTTCACATTTATATGATCTACAAATGTAAAAGTTTAAACAATAGTATTTTTGATTTTATATTTAATTACATATGTGTGTTTAATTATAATTATTGAAATGTTAAGCAAAGTTCCTACTACTAGAAGTTACTTCTAATACTAGTTCTTACTACCATTAGAAGTTTTGAAAATAAGCATTTGCTCACCTTTCAATTCTAATATGCACAGAGGTAGAAAGCGAGCAGCTTTCTTTTCATAAGCTAAGTGACACTTGTCTGGAAGAAGGTGTTTTGCGGTGCAAGGACCTTGACAGTTTTGATAACGAGGAGCTAAAACTTTGAACAATTTGTGAACCATTTGTTTGTCCTAAAAATATTTTTTTCATTAGAAATGTAAGACAACTTTGCATATGTGTTATCTGTATAAGAAAATTAGTTTATCACCCTATTATATCCAAACTACAAGTTAAGAGCTAAGCAACACTTTGTTGAATGTGAGTAAAGAAACTTTAGATTTTGCACATTGGTATTAAAAAATAACAATTATGCTAAATCTTTATTTCGTGTATGCAAATTTCCAACTTCCAAAATCTATAAACCTCTGTTCAGTGATATGGTAGCACTCATGACATTTAATTATGACAAAAGATAGATTATCTGAGTTTATTTGTAAAATGTTTGTTGCAACTTCATTGTTTAAAGAAAGCTCTTTTATAACTATTCAAAACATTTTTGTAAAGGAAAATAAACTTATAGCAGGGTCATAGATATTTTGTAATGAGAAGGTTTAGAATATGTACGAGGTATAATATGTAATTACATTATATATTCGTTAAAGCACGATTAGCAAAAATCCTTTATTTGATTTAAATTGGAGCATTTCATTTGAATAAAATTAATTTGATTTTTTTACATTTACTAATTGAATCATTTAATTAAATGACTTAATAATACTTATATATGAAAAACAATATTATAGCTAAAATAATTAATATTTCTTTTTTAAATAGTTATAACTATTTTTCAATACTTACAACCAATCACTAAATTATAAAATCATAGCTAGTAATTTTTGTTCAATATCACATTCCTATTTATTTTAATATCAGGGAGGCAATTTGACAATTAGAAATCCAACAGGGTTGCAAAAAACCCAGGTTTTTCCAGAAAAAGCCAACCTGGGTGGATTTTTCATGTTTTATTGGGGTTTTTTTTCAGAGAGGGCAGGAATATGTAAATAATCCCTGCCCTTATTTTAAAAAAAGCTTATTTTAGTATTATTAATTAAGTTTAATTTTATGAATTGACTTAAAAAATTAAAGTGTAATAATTAGTTAATACAATAAATTGGTGCATAAGTCTGAAAAAGGTTTCTTCTGACATCACGATACAAAATGTTATACGTACTCACATACATCACATATTTGAAACTTATTTTTACACAGGATTACTTTTTATTTATATTTTAATCTTAAAAAATATTTAAGGAAATTTTTTTATTTGCATAGAAAGCAAATCAATAACTCTCCAGTCTCCAAACGCAGTTAGTTTTCTTACCATAGGTTAATTTTTTTATGCTAACCTACTCATATATTTCAATAGAATAGCTTTTTAATATAACAGAGGATAAAAGGGAAAACTATTTTAGAAAAACCCACCTTAAAGTGGGTTTTACTGGGTTTTTCTAAGATTGATTTCTTTTTTATCCTCTGTTATATTAAAGAGCTATTCTATTGAAGTACATATGTAGTCTGGCCTAAAAAAAAAAAATACTTATAGTGAAAAAACTAATTGTGTTGGAGACTGGAGAGTCACCTTGCTGGCTAGATTTGACTGTATGGCCATTGATTTGCTTTCTATACAAATAAAAAAATTTCCTTAAATATTTTTTAAGATTAAAATACTATAAATAAAAAGTAATCCTGTGTAAAAATAAGTTTCAAATGTGTGATGTATGTGAGTATGTATAACATTTTGTATCGTGATATCAGAAGAAACTTTTGCATCAATTTATTTGTATTAATTACCTATGTGTTAAGTCAATTTATAAAATTAAACTTAACTATAAATATTAAAATAAGCTTTTTAAAATAAGTTACTTATCCCTGTCCTCTCTTTTGAAAAAACCCCCATTAAAACATGAAAAGCCCAATAAAACCCACACGGGTAGGGTTTTTCTAGAAAACCCGGGTTTTTTCGAACCCTGAAATCCAATGAAGAGAAAATTAGTCTAGGTCCGAAAACAGTACTGAAAAAAAATCAATTTTTTAAATTTATAGGACGGTGGATTAAAATTATGCCAAACTTATTACATATAAGTATAAAAAAATGACATGTTAAAATAAGCACATTTTTAATATTACAAAATTCTAATATTACAAAAAAGAAAAAAGACTCTTACCTCAAGCCAAAAATTTGCCATTTCCATTGTAGGACCATGCTTGTCACCATTTCTCACAGCTTCAGTTATTAGCTACAGAAACAAAGATTTTATTAATCTTGTGGATTGGTACTTTTGTGAAGAAAAAAAAAACTAATTTAGACTCAACGCAGATTAATTTTAACTCAACTGTCAGACTTCTGAGAATCAGGAATTACAAAAAGGAAGCAACCATTTTTGTGAAATAATTTCATTATCTATAAATCATCATGTGCATTTCACGAATTTACACAACACTTTTTTCTCAGAATATAAATATATTGTTTTGAAAATCCAGGACTGAGGACGTTTATATAAGATTTCAGACAAAAACAAAACATTAGAGACAATATTATGAGTAAGGAAAACTGATGAAAAAATAATTGATTTTTCAATGATTACATAAGTTGTCTATGTCAAAATTTCATAAGTTAAAATTTCTTTATTTTTCAAGTGTTCAATGTGTGTAGAATTTTACTTTGAACATCAAACAGAGTAAAATAATTAGAATTTAAAGTTGTTTTTTCATATAGGCAAAAATATCAACAATACAAAAAAAATTCAAAATGCATTATAATGAAGTTCAAACCTTTTATAAAAAATGGATAAAATTCATCAAATGTATAAATTCATCATAATGGATAATTTATCATCATAATCTATATCATATATAAAGAACCTGATGTCATTAAATTAATCAAAATTCAAAGGATTAAATGGGCAGGCCACATTATAAGAATGGAGGATAGCAGGACAACCAAAAAAGTTTTCAGTGCCAGGCCAACAGGTACAAGAAAAAGAGGACGGCCAAACCTAAGATTTTTAGACTGCCTTGAAAAGGACCTACAAGTTTTAAAGATAATAAACTGGAAAACCTTGGCTAAGGGAAGAATGTCTTGGCATAGGCTTGTTCAGAAGGCCAAGGCCCATCCTGGGCTGTCGTGCCAATGATAAGAAGAATCTAGTATATCATAATGGATAATTTATCAGGCCAGGGGTAAAAATGTGATTCAGTGTTCACTCAAATGAAATACAATACCTCATCCCTCTGAAAGCTATAAATTTCTGTGTAATCTGGTTTTAATATACATGAATGCTGCAAAATTTGGTGCAGATAAAATGCATATTTTATAAGCCTGTTTAGGGCAGAATATTGGGTGGGCAGGTAGGTAGGTACTTTAAGTATGTCGCACTAGAGCTGCACAATGAGCTGTTGACGACGATCTGGGAAACATCCCTGAGGATGATCTGAAGACATGCCATCACAATTTTGAACCTCTGCAGAGGAGATGGCTACCCTGCTTTGGTAGCCCAACAATCTGCGCACAAAGTCAAGCACTTTATGGTAGAATAATTTAACAAGGACTGATAACACACACCCTTGGTCCCTGCGCAGGTTGATCAAAGTGGTCACCCACCCGCTTACTGACTGCAGCCAGTGATGCTTGACTTCGATGTTCTATGATCAGTCCACTGCAAGATGGCAAAAGACTTATTTATCTATAATTCACTGTCTGGGAAAATTTATTTTTTATAAGTTGATAATTAAATTTTAATTATAAGAAGTACGGCAAGATTTCAATATCAGTCGCTTTGCAACTGTAGTTGACGCAAACAGGCACAGAGGCAAAAATATCACAGTACATTAATTTTCAGGTTTTATTAATAATATACTTATATTTGATGATTTATCTTTGATAAATAGCATTTAGATGTGCAAAATTTGAATTTTTTATTCAATCATAATCACTATAGTTAAAAGTATCAAGAAATTCTGAATAGTCCAGAAAGGGGATATTTCTGCATCGTGATCTGGCACACCAACTACAATCACCAAGGTGCCAAAAAGATTTTAAACTTGCAAAATTTAAAAAAAAAAAAACAAACAAACATGTACATGGGGTGGCTACGAGTTATACCTTTCAAGCTGGTCTATTTCTGTGATGTTTTTTTTAGTATTTAGCGAGCCGCTACCTGGAAGTTGATTTGGCGATCATTCTGCCATAGATCCCTATATGGAAATCACCCTCCCCTCTACAATCGCTAAATCTATTTTAAATTTGCAAATTGTTTTTTTCTTTCTTCCTCCTTTTTTTTTTTTTTTTTTTTTTTTTTTTTTTAGAAAAAAATAGATGTTTGCCCAGAGTTGGCTATGAGTTTTAATCTTTGATTTGGCCCCCTCTCACCAGGGACTGGCAATTATTTTGGTGCAGATCTCTGCACAGAAAAAATTCTTCTTGGATGAGACATGTGAAGAAGTTTTTAAGTTTTGACATGATAGTTCAAAAGGATCGCCATCATTTTCATAAACAATATTTAAAAAAATTTATATGGTTTAAACACAAAAAAAAAAATTCCGATTTAGTGGGATAAAATTAAACTTTTTAACTATTTAAGACTTTCTTTGATCTGTGAGAAATCTGATTTATGTAAAGTAAAAACTATTTTAGAATGCGAAACATACCCGTTCTGCATAACCTCGTACTTCATTACATTTCGGCATAAACAATTCTATTCTTTCGTACTTAAATAATGCAGAAAGCACTGTCCTGATCTTTTTTACTCTTCCGTAAGGTCCTTCATCCTGAACATTTTTTAAATTAACATGACGTTTTTTAACGCTAAATTTTATTCTAGGAAGCAACTTTGCTATCTCAGCCATTTAAACCCAGATTTATAACAATAAAAACAGTAAGATTAATGATTTACAATTCGTATATATTTTCTGAAAAAGGTCGAATATTTCAATTATAAAACGCTTTATTTCTTGTTTACAGTCTTGGAAAAACAATAAACGCTTCCGAATGTCTATTTCTGCTTCATTAAAACACTAATAAACAGTTACTGATCATTTAAAAAACTGGTCAGTTACGGAAGACTAAGCTATAGCATTTTTAAGAGCGATTGTCTTTGCATTTAATTCGCACATCTTTAATCATTATCGAGGAAAAATTAGAACCTGATTGGTTGAACATGACCATAGTGTTATTTTCTCTTTAACGCTGTCGGAGGTACGTGAATGAATACTGATAGAATAAAATGAGAGGGAGTATTGAAAATTATTGTCGTCATATATTCATTGTAACAGAATTTATTGCAGTGTTGTATGTTGTGGCTGATTATCATCATTGATCTATTTTGTTAATGTAGGCATTGTACAAATCTCTCCTTATTAGGTATGGTTTCTGCTGATGTTTGAGTCCTTTTTCATGCCTTCCTTGTGTTTTTTTTTTGTTTTTTTTTCTTTTTCTTTTTTTCTATTCTTTTTTTTTTTTTTTTTTTTTTTTTTTTTTTTTTTTTTTTTTTTGCACAATCTTACTAGGCTCAGCATTTTACTCTCTTTTGAAAATGAACTAAAATTATTCCTTCTTCTGGCAAGAAAGCAAATAGTTTTGAGCACTACTTATTCTTTTTCAACGCATTCGGTCTGGTTTACGGATGCAAAACTATTTTAAATATAGAGAAGTGTTCCTTCCAAAGGTATCTAACAGATATTTTGCAACTTTTTGACTGTTTCTTCTTCGTTTTTTTTTTCTTTTTTTTTTAAATTCAGCTATTAGAAAATATTTTGAGCTGGTATTATATATAAACTTAATGACAAATATTTTAATAAAAAGAAATAATTGAAAATTTTCACACTGTGGAGTTTGTAATGCATTTCAAAAATGATTAAACAAAGTTATTAATTAAATAATTAGAATTTTAACAGCCTAAATCGAATTATTTCCGTTAATGACTTTCCCAAGTAGCACATATCTTAAAAATAATATCGTAAAAACTTAGTTTCAAACATTGTACAATATCGTAGCGAAACATTGCACTATATAAAAATAGACCCCTTTTGTAACGTATATTCAATATCGCAAAACAATATTGTTCGATATTGTAAAAATGTATATTTTATTAATAACGATAATCATTTAATAAAAAATCTACGATGATTTTTCTATTTTTACTCTCCTAAATTAAGAAAAAAAAAAAAAAAAAAAAAAATTTCAAAAAAAATAATACTCTNGGGGAGTCTTTAAAACAATTTCAAAAAAACATGACGAAATAGTTGAAATTTCTAATAAGTAAATAAAAAAGAAAAATGATAAAATCTTAAAGATATATTCTGAATCTAACATCAGTGTCTGAGTGCCTCTCAAAATCAAGAAGCTTCAATTTGAAAAATATCACTTTTCACCTGTCACTTAAAAAAAATCACTTTTGTAAAATCTGTGTAAGTTTTTAATATATTACATCTATCTGTAATATAGAAACTCTATGAATCTTGCATAAAGTACCAATAGTTTAGTTTTTAAATAGAAGAAAATATCAAATTATTCTAATTAGATTATTCTCATAAATGTTATATATATGTTTAAAAATTGTGAAAATGTTTAGAATAGATATCAGGGATACATATTTCATCATAGTTGATTTCAGTTGTTTAATTTTGAATTGAAAAGTTTTTAAAAACACTTTTTAAAAACCACTTCATTAACAAAATTAATAATGAATTAAACGAATAATGTTTTATAAAACATGGAAGTATACTTCCATGTTCTATAAAACATTATTCGCTTAATTGATAATAATGATAATAGCAAAATAATAGCAAACATTGATAATAATGTTAAAAATAAATGTTAATAAGGCTCAGGCCCCTTAGACACTTGCGATAATAAGGCCCCGAATATATGCCATGAATAAAATAAGCTTAAAAAAATTTATTTTTGTCCAGAAAGTAAAAACGAAAATCATTGTTGGCATTATCTCGTCAACTTCGAAAATATGTATTGAGAAATGTGGAAAATTCTATAAATAACCCTCGTTTTTTCTTCTTCTTTTTTTTTTTTTTTTTNTTTTTTTTTTTTTTTTTTTTTTTTTTTTTTTTTTTTTTTTTTTTTTTTTTTTTGAAGATTCTAATAAGATTTTATTTTTTGATTTTTTCGCAATATTTTTGAATTTTGTTGATGGAATTTGCTTATTTGGTATGAACTGCCCGACACTTTTAAAACTTTTGTTTTCTTCAGTATTTCCGAATACTCATACATACCTATTTAAAAACATTGTAAATTAAATTAAATTATTGTAAAAATTGTGAAAGCGTAACTTAGTTGTCGTAGTTAAACACTGTTTTGATTTGGATGACAAATCATGTATAGACGTCTGTGTATTATATGCATGAGATTGTTGCTTTTTATTTTCTTGCTCATTTTGCAGCAAATAAATTTATCTTTTTTTTAATTACCATCTGGTGTTTAAGAAAGTTTCTACTTTATTTCTCGCATTGCAAGAATAAAATGGTCCCGCAGTGGACTGATCGTTAAGACACGGTTCCCAGCAGATCACCGAAGTCAAGCATCACTGACTACGGTCAGTGTGCGGGTGGGTGACCACTTGGATCAGCCTGCGTAGGGACCGAGGGTGTGCGGTATTGGTCCTCGTTAAACTGTGCTACCGTAAAGTGCTCGACTTCGCGCGCAGGTCGTCGGGCTACCGAAGCGGGGGTGCCATCCCCTCCGCAGAGGATCAAAATTGTGATGGCATGTCTTCGGATCATCCTCCGGGATGTTTCCCAGACCGTCGCCAATAGCCCATTGTGCAGCTCTAGTGCGACGTAAATTAACAACAACAACAGCAAGAATAAAATGATATTAGTTATTTTTCATTAGTTTACAGATTTTGCTTAAACTGATTTATGACATCTGACCATTTTTTTAATTTTTTTTATTACACGTAATTATTATTATTTCTTTTAAAATAAATTTTTACATTACGGGATTCGTTTCCATAAGAGAGTAGAGCCCATTTTTTAAAAACGCCCATAATTCTGGAAATATTTATAAAAAGTTTTAAAAAATTTTTTTAACTCTCTGAAAGCATTGAAATGTATAAGCTGGCGTCACTTCATTTACCTGCTTATTGAAAATACACTCTAACAAAAAAAATTGACGCACCAAGAAGGAATCATCCGATTGTGGATCCTGTTTTCCCTATTGCACGCCACACCGGCCCTCAACAAGGCATTATGGTCTGGGGTACCATTTCCTTTGACAGCCGGACCCCTTTGGTCGTCATTAGAGGTAAACTTACTGCACAGCGGTACTTCGACGACATCCTAAGACCTGCTTTGCTACCGTTCCTTTTGCAGCGCCCTGTGTTGGTTTTTCAGCAGGACAATGCCGGACCACATACGGCACGTGTTGCTATGAACTGTCTGCAAGCTTGTCAAACTCTTCCTTGGCCTGCCAGATCACCAGATCTCTCTCCCATCGAGCATGTCTGGGATATGATGGGAAGGCGATTGCATCTGGCACGGAATGTTGATGACCTCGTTCGACAATTGGATCGAATTTGGCAGGAAATACCGCAAGAGACCATCCGGGAGCTTTATCTGTCTATGCCACGCCGTGTGGCAGCTTGTATCCAGGTTAGAGGCGGGTCAACACCTTATTGAACTTGTTACTGCAACTCTGCAATAAATTATTCAATTGTTCTGAAATTTTAATAATTTACTATTTTGTACATTGTCTTCCTATCCACCAATTTTCGCTTCAATCGGACAACTCCTTCTTTGTGCGTTGATTTTTTTGTTATAGAGTGTAGTAACTAACTTAATTAGTAATACTAATTGAACAATCAAATACTGTTTCATTTAAAAGTAAAATAGTGTAAACAACTGACTGCCATTAAAAACCACAATAATACGATCATTGATTGAATGATGGATAGTCTATAGTTCAGCCTCTAGCTTGGACAGGCTTCTTTGATGTTACCATTATCAGTTATAAAGAAATGTTTTGAGGCAGAATGTAAATGTGATCTATTTAGGTTTATAACACGGAACTGTATATCCTTGCAATAATTTCCTTGTTAAAATTGATTTATGACGTTCAATTACTTTACTAATTTTTAATCTGCTTATTTTTTTTTTTATAAACTTTATCACACCATGGGATTACTTTGAAATCCGGTTCATAAGAAAGGATGGATGGCTGTAATATTATCCAAAAGTACCAATATATATTTATAAATGTTACTTTCGTCCTAAAATATGAATGGTTGACTGTGTAAAGCTAAGCACAAATGGCGCTACAAGTTAAAATTCATCGTAAGACTTGCGGATAACTACTTCTGAACTGTTTTCACGCCTTAGCTTAAAAAAATTCGCCATCCAATTATATTATACTTTTTATATGCGTCGTTGAACAGCCGACCCAATTTTTGGGTTCACGAGTACTAATGCTCAACTCCGTAGCCTTGTATTTTGAACCAATCCAGAAGACAAGGATACTCCTGGATTAGTACCCCAAGAGGTATTGATTTGTTGCGGGAACATGGAGGACTTTGCGATTCGACAGATTTAACGTGCATCAGTCACCATTTACTACACGGGGAGTCTTTGGTGGTGGGGATCGAACCCACGAACTCTTGGACATGGGTCCAGTGCCCTACTGACCAGGCTATCCCGGCCTTAATAATAGTATACTTGTAATGTTTTCTATATAACACGTTCTTTCAATTTAAATTTCAACGAAACAAACAACAAATGAATTTGGAATACTCCGCAAGCTCGCTATGATGCTAACCCAAAATAAAACAAACGGCACTATTTTTTTATAATATAGCCGAATAAGGATAACACTCAAAACATGACAAACCATGCATTTTATTTATGCTGCGAAATCAATTTTGTTAAATTTGTTTTACTTTCAAGACTTGTTAAAATTTATAAATTACAGTAAACTCTCATGAATGGTAAAATTTTACGCTTAAATTTAAACACAGATCACAATAATAAAACTTCCTAGAATATTAAGCCTGTTCAC